GGCTGGCCCGAGCAGTATAGCCCCCGCGGCATTACGAACAAAAGCTGGCATGATCACCAAGCGGGTGTCTCGTTTGAGGAGTTGAAGAAGCTTCATGACGAAGCTGAGAAGTCAGGAGACGCTGGATGGGGACCGGAGGGAAGACTAGCTACATATGCCGGGGCTGCAGTTGGGCTGGTGCATAGTGTCGAGGATGCTGGAAGTCTGGTGAAGCGTCTACAAGACGAGGCAAGAGCAGTTATCGGAAGTCTGCATGAGATTCTATGAATCGCCCGGATGATTCCACTAGCACTTTCATCAAGCGTACGAGCTATGTTTCTGTTCGTCGATCACCGTTCGAATCAAAGCCAAACCATCCTTGTCTGCCATCAGCCCCTGTTCCCCGATCTGGTTGCTGCGTCACTATCACCGTCATTGCGGCACCGTTATCCGTTTCTGCTGGGATGATCCTGTCCATAATCTTCCTAGCACATATCGCAGCCCAGTCTAGATTATCTTCGGCCGATGTGACCACTGCTGATGGTCAGTATCAAATCCGCGTTCGCTTATGTGGATGACTTACTACGTGTCGAATCAAGTATGTTGCTCGACACACAACTCTGAAGTAAAACGAGTAGCACTGTTTCCCTAATGACCCTCCTCACAGTGGGGGTTCTGCCATTGGCGTCGTCAATTTTTTCGTTCCAATACGTTGCTATTCTCTCGCCAAATTCCCGATTACTCACTAGGATGAAACACGATGTCAGCACAGACTCTAGAGCTATGAGCGTAGTCGGATCTACTTACGCTCACCAAACTCAATCTTATCCGAGTCGCCTACTAAATTTCTAATCGCGCCTACAAATGAGTAGCTAAATTCATCATGACCGAGCTGTAAGAGTCTGGCGACGACATAATCAAGTTGCTTGTCTGTTAGCTCGTGGATAAATGCTTTAGTACGTGCGAGACAGAAACATGGGTGATTAATCATTTGTTTGCCTTTCGTCAAGCTGAGGAGTGCGTCAGCATACGCTGTAATGCGTTCAGTGCTAAGGGCAGATTCATGTGGATGAGTTGTCGTCATATTCCAAGTGCGCGGTCCGGTCAAGTGGAAGAATGAGACTAGAACTGAGACTGAACATATTAATAGCTTCTTCGATGCGAGAAGTTTGTCTGGGCTTGCTATAGCAACAGCACGATAAGATAAAATTGCTACACAGCCTTGTATGTCGAATCATTTCGCAAGCAACAAATGTATCAAGGCAATCACCTAGGCGGCAAAACAGGCTTACTCAGGCAGAGGTTAATAAAGATAGCAGTCTTGCACCCGAGCAGGGCTGGCATATGATTCGGTATGCACAGCGTCTCGCAGCACAACACGAAGTTTTCATAAGTTTTCACTGGGAGCAATGTTGCCGGAGGAGCGCAAAATCGTGGTTATCATGTATGAGATTGGCCCTTCTATTATTTCGATACTTAAGGCGTTCATGTCCGATAGTATCGAGAGTTTAGTAGGGATGTGCGTAATTCTTTGCCTTCCAAGACTTTTCTGCCTCAGAATCCGTTGGCGGGGGATCGATGCCTTGAACACGCCACAGGTCCCGCGGAGTCTCTGAGATATGCATCTCCGAGTCAAGCTCCTTTCTGTCGAGTATGTATGGACGAAGAGTCTACGTATGAAGTTAGAGTGTTCTGCGTGACACAACGCATGCCAGCCACATACCTCGTTAATCTTGTCCATCCATCCAGTACGCTATGCTCGACCTTCTGCAGTGTCTGGACTTGGCATTGCTCGTGCAATCTGTTCTACAACAATGCGAACAAAATTCGTCTTTGATTCTGGACCAACCCATACATTCCCCTCTTTGCAATCGACGAAGATGACATCGACGTAAAAGGCTGGTAGGACATCATAATGTTTCGTTACTGCGGCGGCAATGCCTCTCTTCTGATCAAGAGTGAAGGTGTCGGGATGGGCGTAGATTCTTCAGAGAGGCATTGTAATTGGAAGTTGGCTGTTTGACGAGGGACAGCTTTATGCTCGAGTAGATAGGAGAAGTTCAGACGCTTTATATATTGTTTCGCAGGTTTCTTGAGCGAATAGACACCTAGCTGTGGTTCAGTCGCAGTACATACTGTTTCGACAAAAGCATGATCCTTGAACACGATTAGTCCGGGGTAAACTGGTAGAATGCCTTGCGGCTGATTAGTGATTGACTCCATCGCTCCAAGCCTCGCCCTCCGGTCTACGTACGCAAGGGTGAGGGGATGATGGTTCAGACAGTCGAATCATGCGAAACAGGATTATGCTAGTAGCCGAGTTTGGTGCTACTGGCATTGTTGTGAAGCTATGCGCTGTCTGCAGATCAAGAGTGGCAGGCGGAAGTTCTTCCGTTGCTCTATCGCCACATATTGCGATGATCATAAGTTATAGCATCATTTGAGGACTTTGTGGTGTTATCTAAGTAGGTTGTTAGATATACACATTCATATGCTTCGGCTTTGAGCCTTAGTCGAGCATATAGTCCGTCATTACGGAATGAGTGATTTTCAATATTGCATTTGCACGAACGCTGGAGCCTAAGTCTCTTGCTTTGTTGCTGCACGGTGTCTACTGGGTTCTGAGGACTTGATAGTCCTGGCTGAGAAAGGAGGGTCTACTCAGTTACCCCATTACATAACGGCTGAACATCTGTCTGCGATGACGTAAAATTCAAGGGTAGCATCAGCCTAGCGGCTACGCAAACTACGTGAAGTCCACACTCGCTTTGGACCTTACGGCCGTAAAACCTTACGCTAGGTATGATCTGCGTACTCCACATGTAACTAAGCCGTCTTCAGCGGTTGCTACTTGCTGCGACTATCTTGATGGGGAAGCCTGGAAATTGCCTAGTCCGAAGACGCGGTTCACTAAATAGGTCAGAAAATGCTACGACGCTCGAGTGAGAAGCAAACCTGGGTGGTAAAGTTGAGTAGGATGATTAGCGTTTGACTAGAGCATGTTTGTTCCTTTGGTAAGAGCTGTTGTCACGGCGGTAAGTTTGATAACACGCCTCTGTGCTAACCTTCGCGACAGATTTTGAAGCCAGGTGTTCTCCTACCATATCGTCTTTGTGTAACGTGTGGTGGTTCGGAGTTGAGATTGTATTACCTGTAAGATGCGACGTTATCCAACTAGAGAGAGCAATGAGATGGAACTTCGATGTTCCTGCACAGACCACCCCTTTAGCGCGTGCATCACGTGATCGCGCGGCGGTCGTGGGTCCGATCAATGACACGGGCATCTGAGCACATCACACAGCATGCAGCTTGCAGTATGAGTGATACCGATCGGATCGACGGTCTACTGGGCGATCTACAGCGATTGACTGAGGCAGGCCGTGATCGCATATTGGGTTTTCTGCCGCAAGAGGACCTCATTGCGCTTCTCAAGGTCGCTCTTCGAGAACGAGACCAGGATCGAGGTTGGTCCGACCACCACGATCCCAAACATAAACTAACATTCTCAGAAAACGTTGCCATTCAGACTCAGTTGAATCAAAGCCCTCATGCTGAGCCTACCGTACATGTTGCACGCGAAGAGCCTAGCAATGTGACCAATCGAGCACACACCGCGGTGACTCTGCGGAACAACAAACGACCCAGGACCGATAGTTCTCCGACCGAAGTCGTCGGGAATAACTCGAACTCAGTGGCAGTCAAGCAAGAGCATGAGACGATTGATCTTGTTAGTGACGACGAGTGGGAAAATTCCAACATTGTTGTCCAGCCAAATAATCCAATAAAACGAGAGGAGTCTCCACCAGTGCAACCTGGTAGCAGAGTTGGCAGTATCTCGGCCCCAATTATATCACCCAACCTTGAAAGGACACAAACCATCGAACCTCCAGAGACACAAACTAGCTCTGGGAGTAGCAGTCGTAACAGCCTGGCTACATCATCTCGTCAGTCCTCAGCAGTGCAAGATGGTATCGGGGGCAGTGGTTATGGCATGCTTCTACCATCTCATCCTGTTGGAGAAGGTTCGATACAAGCCCGTTTCGTCCATACTACTGCAGCGGACTACCATGGACATCTCAATCTACCTGTATGCCTTCTTATCCGGGGGGTTGATGGGAAACAGGTCTACAAGACCTTTATGGAACTACCAAACGACGTTCAACAGAACATTCACTCCCGGTTTGCAGAAGTATGGAGGTCACAGCCATGGATACTTGATAACTATGAGAAATTGTTGCAAAATCCCGAGCACTACATGACCATGCCTGCCTGTATCCGGTCCTTGATCGTTTCGAAAAATAGTCGTCTTAGTAGTAGGTCTCTTTATACTATAGGCGGCAGTCTTAAGGAGACAGCGGACGACCAGTGCATAACAGGTGGTTATCCTTGTGCACACTTTGTCAAATGGGCCGACGGTTCAATGAATATATGTTTCGTGCCCCTGCCCCCGGGGAGACGGGTGGACAAGGTCTGGACTGAGCTCAGCTATTGGATAGAGTAAGTACGCCGACCACAATGAACTGTACCTTGCTAACGAGCCAGTGTAAATAATCGGCGTTCTTCGACCCCTTTGCGGTGGCAAACCCACAAGACCAACGAGGATTTTGAGAGACAGGCAAAATAGCTGGGCAAGCAGAGAAGTTCTATACGCTGAACATTCAGAGGCTAAGGCAATGCCCAAAGTCTACTCGCGCGTGTGAGGTGGTAACCAGAAATTGTAAGAATAAAAGAAAACCTACTGGCCATCCAGCTTTGCCAGCCTGTGCCTACATGTAGTTTGAGAATAGCATCGTCCTGTGACGAAGTTTACAATCTCTAGAATTTTCACGTCGTTCTCGTAGGCAAGGTGAAGGGCCGTTAATTCACCGCTCCTTCGTGAAGGGTCCAATGCCAAGATCGCAACAAACGCGCTCAAAAGAAGAAAATCGGACAGAAGCTCTCCCTTCAACTTGATTTCTGCTACCAGTTACAATAAACTGGCACGCCGTGAGAGTGATCGATGACGGTCATCTGAAGACAGCATGAACGCCAACACTGACACCGATGGTCTCCTGAAGGCCTTGCGGAAACTGGACGAGACAGGTCGTGGCCTATTCGTTGAGTACCTGCCTACCGAAAAGGTCAAAGACGTCCTTCTTCTTCTCCTTCGCGAGAGAGACGCGATGCCAGGTAGGTTTCACGTTGCCACTGTTGGTGAACATACTTAAGCTTACTTCTCATCGCCCTACAAAACCAATTGCTCCCACATGTCTCCCAAGACACTAGCGAGAGCTCGGCGCAAGTCGTGGTAAAGAAAGAGCAAGACATCATCGATATCGCTAGCGAAATCGAGGAGGCAGAAGCCGAGACCAATGATCAGAGGGAGGTCGACGAGGCACCAAAGCCACTCGATATGTCAATGTACTTGCATGTTCTCGACAATTCAGGACAAGTTACGCTTAAAAACTTTGGTTACCTCAGCCTCTTTGTCCAAACCGAGCTAAAACGCCGCTTTGAAGGAACATGGGCAATGAACATAGCAAGGACACAGCGTTACGCAATGTTCACTTTGACACCGGAAAGGTACATGACCGAGCCTTATTGCATTCGGAATCTCGTCATCGGGACCACGCGACGTGAAAGACGACGATACATCCAAGGTGATGATGAGCTCAAAGAGAGGCCGGATTACGGTTGCATCGACGCTCGCAAACCCTGCGCCCACTTCATCAGGTACCAAGGTCGATGCGTCATACTTCTTGTACCTTTACCCGAAGCTGTTCGACGGAGTATGGACTGGAGAGAAATTGGTTATTGGGTGCTGTGAAGTACCGAATAGAAAGCTCTACATGTTACGGATTAGTCAGATCGGCGATTGGAACCTTCGTGGTGTGCTGGGTCGGCTAGGCAGTCAAAGACTATCGTGAAGCCATAGATGAGACCCATAGGACTCATTGTAGCTGAATAAAACAGCACAGGATCTACGAACTGAGACTGAGATGCCAGAGCACAAGGAGGAGAAACGAATATAAATATGTCGAGCAACCGAAACACACTTACAAATCTCCAAACTGCCCTGAGTATGGACCGTGTGTTGACTCCTTGAACGCCGGCGCTATGCAATATGACGAACTCTTGACTACTGCGATATCTGCTCGTTGTGCGAGTGCAGTAGCAATGTCAGAGTTAGAATGAGAACAATAAACACCCCTTATCAAACGGCATCCACAGCCATCCATTCGCCGCTCCATATGCCATCCGTCTTGCACCCCGGACAGCTCGCATGATCGCATCCAGTTGGCTTTGTGAAGTCGTACTCTTCCCAAGTAATCTCATCGCCCTCTTCGTCATTTGCCATGACGACATCCTCTTCTTTCTTGACATCAGCTTCCACGATAGGCATTGCAGCAGCAGCAGCAGCAGCAGCAGGAACTTCTACGCTATCTACGACCTTCTTTGTATCCTCTCCAGTCTTGCCACTCACATCCTCGTAACCACCCTCCTTCCCACTAACAGCAACACCAACCTTCTTAAACCTGCCACCTGCAGCACCCGCAGCACCCGCAGCACCACCTCCACCGATCTTGGTAAACCGACTTCCAACACCAGGCTTCTTATTCGCATTCTCGACATCGATACTGCGCATCTCTAGGCCCTGCTTTGGCTTGCTGCTTTCGGTTTCGTTCGAAGCAGTGAGCTTCTTCATATCGGCGAGACGTTGGCGATGGTTGTGGTCGTAAGAGCGGAGGTGGTTTTCGTAGTCGAGTTGGCGCGGGTAGCCTTTGTCGCATATTGTACAGTTGAACAGGCGGACTGCCGCCGGTAGGGGGTTATTTCGCTACGCATTGTATCAATGGATGCACGAGGAAGAGTGAGTAGGATGAATACGGACTGGAGGCATGGCCGCGTCTATGTATGATGTGCTCCGGTCTTTTGAATGCGTTACTGACGCGCTACACCACCAGTGGTAGCGGTTTCTAAGCGAGTCGGTAGAATGTGGGGTTGCGGGGTTGTAAAGTCGCGTCGTTGTGGTGATAGAACATTTGGTGTTGCGGCTCAACTGCACGCGCCTCGGTCCAACAAAGCCCCACTTATTTCTCTCACCGAATCAACGTCATTCAATGTCTCAGCAACGTAGCGTTTCCCCAACCACTGCAATCTGCACCACCACGACGCAGATTACAAGATGGAGATCAATCCAGATCTACCGCCGGTAGAGGATGAAGAGATGGGCGTCATGGGCCTTACACAAGTCGACCCTTCGCCGGTCGAAGACACACCGATGGAGTTTAGAGAAAAAGGCTATTTCCCCGAACAGGAACGACCTGAGAAGGAAACAGAGGAGATGAGAGGGATTCGAAGGATGAACACATTGGGACTGCGATTGGGCGATCATGGAACAGCTTGGTGGCGTACGTATTCTCACTGGTACGAAGTTGAGGGGTGCAATGCTGACATTGCTCTGTAGTTCTCCGCATACAAAAGTACTCTTCCTACACCTTCACCGCCTTCGCCGCCCTCCACATAACGAACGTCTCCATAATACCGCTTGCCACACGCTCTGTCCTCGAATCGAATCGCTACCTCCTGCTCACACGACCATACTACCAATCTGCTCTTACCGAACCCCTCCTCGTTGGTCTTCCCCTCGTTGCACACGTCACATCTGGAATCGCACTACGGCTATGGAGAAGGAGACAGGCTCTGAAGAAATACGGTGCTGAGACACGAACCGACAAGCGCACAATTCCATGGCCACAACTGAGTGGGACGAGTGCGTTGGGCTACGCTTTGGTACCTTTTGCTAGCTTCCATGTCTGGACTACTCGTATTCTGCCGCTTTACGCACACGGAGACTCGTCCTTGATCAACCTCCAATACATCTCTCACGGCTTCGCACTACACCCAGCTGTTTCGTTTACTGGTTTCACAGCACTCGTAGGAATTGGCGTGTGGCATTTCGTCTGGGGCGCGGCCAAATGGTTGGGCTGGGCACCAAGCCAAGTTAAGATGACAGAAGAAGACCGGGCGTTGGTCAGGAAGAGGAGATGGTATACCATCAACGGAATTAGTGCGGCTCTCACGGCATTGTGGCTAGCGGGCGGCTTGGGTGTTGTTGGAAGAGACGGTAAGATGGTGGGCTGGGTAGGCAAGGAATACGACGAACTATACAAGTATCTTCCTATCGTTGGGAAATGGGTGGGACAATAGAAGGAAAGTAGCATGCGAGTTTTGCATTGTAGTATACCCTTGATAGCGCATCGACAAAGTCTACAATTTCTCGCCAACACACTTGACACTGCCCTCTTAGTAGTCGATGTAGACCCTTCCCTCAAGCGGTTGCAGCACAGATTCCGTCGCCTTCCCGTATGAGCTCACCAGCAGCCTCAAGCCCTCGACATCGTACTCCATCCGCTGTTCCTTCGTCGTAAAGTTGAGCACCACAAGCGCTGTCTTCTCCTCGAACCTCTTCCTGTACACAAACATCTCCGTCCCCTCTGGATCCACCAATTCGAACGACCCATATACAAAGATATCCTTGTGTGCCTTCCTCAATCTGAGTGCGCGCTTGTAGAACGAAAGCACACTATCCACGTCCTTTTCTTGCGCTGCAGCATTGATCGCAGGATACTCATCATGCACCCTCATCCACGGCTCACCTGTCGAAAACCCACTATTTACGCTTTCGTCCCACTGAAAAGGTAATCTCGCATGATCCCTGGCCATGAGCTGCAACCCGCGCTTAATCCTCTCTTTACGCGTAGGATCCGTACCGTCATCTGCTAACCTCACGGCTTCAGCCCAGTAGTTCTGACTTTCAACATCCTTGTACTCTTCGCTCACATCCCAAGAAGCCGGAGCGTTTATCATGCCGATTTCTTGACCTTGATAGAGGAACAGTGACCCAGTCTGACCAATCAACCACAAACCAAGTAGCTTGCCGCTCTTCTCCCGCCATTCTGGAGCGTCGTTGGCGAAACGCGATATACTCCGGCCATTGTCATGGTTCTCGTTGAAGACGGTCGTCCATGCGTCAGTTCCCTCGATGAAGCACTGCCACTTCTCTACTATGCGCTTCATATCTGGTAATTCCCACTTGGCAAAATCGTACTTGTCGTTGCAGCCTGGTGGGCCTTGGCCTAGATGTGTAATGTCAAACTGGAAAACCATATCTAGCTCTTTTTGCACTGCGCTGACGTACGGGACGACTGACTCAGGGTCTGGACACATGGAAAGTTCGCCTACTGTTACGACAGGCTGGTCGTCGTAGGTCCTGTAATGGGAAAGTACGTCGCGGTTCATCTCCTTGATGAACTCGTGAATCCGGGGTCCATTGCACCACATTTGGGCGGCGGGTTGGATGTCACTGGTAGGATCCGTGACGGGCGCATCGGCGAAGGGAAGGACTTTGGAGTACTTGTTCACTGTGTCTACTCGGAAACCGTCGATGCATTTATCGAGCCAGAAGCGCATTGCCGAGTCGTATATTGCTTTCCTACAGTCTTCGTTTTCCCAATTCAGGTCTGGTTGGGATCTGTCATAGAGGTGAAGATAGTATTCTTCTGTGTGCTCATCCCAAGTCCAGGTTCCGCCGGCGAAGTATGAACGGTAGTTGGTAGGCGGCATACGATTTCCTTGCTCATCGTACCGCGCAGGCTGCCAGAAATACCAGTCTCTTTTTGGATTGTCCTTTGAACTTCGACTTTCCTTGAACCAGGCGTGCTGATCGCTAGTATGATTCACAACAAGGTCGAGAATAATCTTCATATGATTTTCATGGCAAGCTTTGATGAGCTTCTCGACATCTTGCACTGTGCCGTATGGTGCATATACGCCTTCATAATCAGAAACATCGTAGCCCTAACATTGTGGTGTGTGAGTTAGTACAGGCTTTATATGTATCTCATACACCAGAGTTCTTACCATGTCAATCTGAGGGGAGTCAAACATGGGCGACAGCCACACTACATCGACACCAAGAGATGCGATATAGTTGATATTTTCGAGTATACCAGGAATATCTCCCCAACCATCCCCATTGCTGTCCTTGAATGACGCGGGATAGATCTGGTAGAATGTTGCTTCTTTCCACCAAACCCGTTTGTGATATGAAAGATCTACGTGTGGTGACATGTTAGTATGATAGAAGAGAGCTCGCTATCCGTGCTAAGCTTAGAATGACTTTGAGCCAGAAAGGTATGAAACGAGGAGGAAATGCGATTTGATCTGTTCAGTCGACTTCGCACGAACTGATCGATGATAACGGAGTAGTCGTAGCAATATGGTGGCAGCTCCAAGCATTGGTTAGCTGGAGGAGAGAGGCGGAAGGTTGCAAGCTCGTCGGATCTGTTATCCCAACTGCTTCCCGACCCTCTAATAGTCCCATCCACGTACTTCATCGTTACAATACCTCTGATTCGTGGTTATAAGGATCGCTTGTAAATGGTTGGCATGCCCGCCCGAGTCGTGCGGGCCCCGCAGTGCAGCATCCGTGTTGCTCCCGCGTTGCCTCCGCCTTGGCTCCGTGAAAACCCCAATGCTTTGCCGCACAAATCCAGGACCTCCGTGTTACCTCCGATCATTTTGCAGCGAAAAGACTCGTGGACACAATTCGAGTGGCGTTTTCTTGTGCCGTTGGAGTAATCTAGAGCGTAATGTGAGCGGTTTTACTGCCGGACCTGGGGCACCATGGGGGTCCAAGTTGCTGGGCTCTCGCTAACCCGCATCAAAGACGACCCTAGTCTGACTATGATCACCTGTGCTCGTAGATGGTTATAAACCCAGCATATTTCCCCAGTGGTATTGCATCAACTCCAGCCTCTCTCTTACGGCACCTGCCACTCAACTCGACGATGGCAGAAAAGAACCTTCAACAACCTATGGCAACACAGCTCGTGGCACCTAACGAGGAGGCGCAACATGCTGCTGATGATGAGAAATCCATGACTCTCATCCAAGCGATCAAGCTTTATCCAAAAGCGGTCGGCTGGTCGGTCGTCCTCTCGAGTGCTCTGATCATGGAAGGGTATGATCTTGCGTTGCTAGGGAGTTTGTACGGCAGTCCTCAGTTCAATCGCAAGTACGGAGTGTTCAACGCTGCTACTGGCAAGTACAGTGTTCAGGCGAGTTGGCAAAGTGCTCTGTAAGTCTCACATGATCCCAACTTCGAGTTGCAGCACACTTTCTGACTGCATCAGATCGAACGGAGCACGAGCCGGTGAAGTGATCGGCTTGTTCATCAATGGATTCGTCAGTGAGCGTTATGGTTATCGGAAGACCATGATTGGTGCTCTGATGTCGATGACTGCCTTCATTTTCATTCTTTTCTTTGCACCTAACGTTCAAACACTGGTCATTGGCGAGGTCTTCTGCGGGATACCCTGGGGCATGTTCCAGACTCTCACAACGCAGTACGCATCGGAAGTCGCGCCTGTACGCCTGAGACCGATTCTGACCACATTCGTCAACATGTAAGCGTGGTCGACTGTTCCTTCCAAAGTCGGTTGCTAACTCATCAAGGTGCTGGGTAATGGGACAGTTCATCGCTGCGGGTGTAAATCGCGGCTGCGTTCAACGTCCGGACCAATGGGCTTATCGTATTCCTTTCGCTATACAGTGGGTCTGGCCCATACCAATCATGGTCGGTGTCTTCCTCGCACCTGAGAGTCCTTGGTGGCATGTTCGAAAAGGGGACAAGGCAGGTGCTAAAGCTGCATTGCTTCGTCTAACTTCGCCGGACAAGGACCCAAACTTCAACGCCGATGAAACAATCGCCATGATTGAACATACCAATGAAATGGAAAAGAACATGTCTGAAGGAACACGATGGACGGACTTGTTTAAGGGGACAGATCTCCGACGGACCGAGATCGTATGCTTTACCTGGATCGCTCAAACGATTTGCGGGACCAATATTATGGGCTACTTGTCAGTAGATGGACTTGGGATTAGCGAGATTTCTGGCTAACACCGAGTAGCGCGTATTTCATGCAGAAGGCGGGTCTCCCAACGGTGCAATCGTTCAACATGTCGATGATCTCGCTGGCCCTTGGCCTAATCGGTACCGCTGGCTCTTGGTGGTTGATGCAGAAGTTCGGCCGGCGAACGATCCACTTCTCGGGTGGCTGCACACTGTTTGTCATCCTGATCATCGTCGGATCATGCTCTTTCGCTGGCACGCAAGCGTCCAATTGGGCCATTGGAGCGGTTCTGATTCTTTTCGTCTTCGTGTATGACTTCACGATCGGTCCGGTAACCTACTCAATTGTTTCGGAGATGTCATCCACGAGATTGAAAGCGAAGACCATCGTTCTCGCCCGCGCACTTTACAACATCTCGAACATTGTCGTCAACGTTTTGACGAATTATCAGCTCGGCGATGCCAATTGGGCTTGGGGTGCGAAAACGGCATTCTTCTGGGCTGGTACCTGTGGTTGCGTTGTGGTATGGGTCTATTTTAGACTGCCAGAACCGAAAGGCCGGACGTACGGTGAGCTCGACATGTTGTTTGAGCAGCGAGTAAGTGCCAGGAAGTTTGATAGCACTCAAGTTGATCCGTACGGGCATGCACGCGTTGCTGATGAGAAGGGTGCTGCGAACCCGGAATGGAAGGAGTGAAGAAGGGTCATAGACACGAGTTGTAGGGTGCCGTTCCTTGCCATATCGAGAAATCGAATAATTTCCAATCGTCTAGCGCAGTCTTCTTGAAGTCCCTCCTTCACTCAACACGTACCAGACAGAAGGTATGCGCTTGTTGATGTGACGTAATCTACCTCGGCTATCACACGACGCGTCTGACCAGCCGCTCAACCCACCCGCCTGTTCTCCTAATTTTGTTAAACAGCGCGTAGACAAACGAACTTGATGCAAAATATCCCCGTCAAAGCCCGAAAAGTCATTCCGAAGGCTTGTGACGCGTGCCGCCGCCGCAAGACCAAATGTAACGGCTCGCAACCTTGCGCAGGATGCCTATCAGCAAACCTAGCATGTACATTCGATGCGCCACGAGGCCAAGGAGGCAACAGGGGTCCAAGAGCTACCGTACTCAACGAGTTGAGGTCAATCTCGCAGAACAACATCGAAGATGCGCAGGATGCTTCATCGTCGTCAGCTATTACGGCCACAGCAACGCCTGTAGAATTTACGCAAAGCGTTTTCGGAGAGTTCATCGGCGTCTACGAGAACCGTATATATAGACTGGTATCTCTTCTACCTGTCGATGTGTTGCGAGATGAAGCTGCAAGAATGCAGGTTTCGCCAATATCTTGTCAGCTCATATTTGCCTTCTGTGCATACATCGCGAATTTTGGCGATACCGACGATGCCAGCTGGGGGCCTACTCAGTCTTCACTAGTGAACCCGAAAACTTACTACTTAGATCATGCTTTGCTTTCTCTGGACCGAGCCAGGGTCACACAGCTTGACCCTCGATCTATTTACATATCCTTCTTCTTATACGGGGCTTACGCTGGCCAAGGAAACTACCGTCAAGCATGGTTCTATCTGAGAGAAGCAACGACCCTATTCATGATGTTGAAAGATGAGGATCAAGACTGGTTTGACAGGAAAATACGGAAACAATTATTCTGGATTTTAGTAGTCTCCGAGAGGTAGGTTGGACAGATTGTAGAGTTCACGCATGGCGCTTACTATACTCCAGAGCACATGGTGTCCGTAGAAATCGGCCGATTACTCTACCAGTCACGCCCTCGACCTACCCACTCGACGATCCACTCGACGCATATGAAGAGCTCGGATTACGCTACCTCACATCAATCTTTCGGCCCCTTAGTGATATCTTCTTCGCAGTGTGGAATGGATCTACTGAAGATTGTAGTAAAGAGTGGTTGCTGAAACTCGAACGCGACGTTCGTACTGCGTTGCCTGTGGTACTCGAGATCTCGAATGAAGAGACCGCAAATATCCGTATATCGCAATTCTGGTTACAGATCAAATTGTGGGAACTTTTTCCTCGCTTTGGTTATCTCTCTACGGATTCTGTTCATGACTGCCTGACGTTTAGATACCCTATCCTGGTGGCCAGAGACTTGACCATCCTTTCAATGAAGCTGCCTATCCAGAGTCTACAGATTCACGGGGTCGGCATGGTGCGTTGTTCCTGTCCAAGTTCGCGCTGCTGCTAACATAGCTAGACTGAAAAAATATTCGACATTGCCTGCGCCCTAGCAGATGTTCTACCTTTTGTGTCCTTTCCGGTGTCGCAATTGGAACTTAGCCCCTCTGATTACTTGACGCAGTTGATGCTGCTCTTAGCAAAGCTACCAGGCGGCTCCTCGAAGTTCATACCTCTGCTGCTGGCCAAGGTCAACGAATTACTTCCTGACTTGATGAGGCACATGTGTGAAGTGATTCAAATGCCCATCCATACGATCAACGATCCTATGAGCCCAGGCACGCGATTCGTATATGAAGAGGAGGTTGGTAGAGGTCTTCACGCAGATTTGAGGAGAATGGCATAGCGAGAGGAAAGAACATGCATTCGACAACTGCTATTAGATCGAACCGGACTGAGTCTCATAAACGTAACTGATCGTGAAAACTGAGACCAAACCTCAAACTAGTACCAATCCCAGAGTTTTACCGAACAAATTCCCAAACGATCGAGCTACCCCAGCGACCAGCGCTAAAACAGCTCGCCGCCGACACCACAATCCCACCAGCATGGCGACCAGCGCTCATGCGAATCTCGGTCTCAGCGCACGCCGGCGCGAGATTGCACTCTCGATGTCGCCATCGATCACCGTCTCATACCCTCCACCAAGACCGCAGACGAAGATGAGCTCGCTGCTCATGAGATTGTATCTCGTGTCCCTCTTGGACACCACTGTGGCCTCCGGTTGCTTGTACGACCACGGCGGCCGCTCGCCATGCTTCTCAATGTAGGTGAAAGCCTTCTCCAGCTCCGTCTCCTTGTTGATGTTGGCATAAAGCCAGTAGGCAAGCGGAATGACGATCGGGAGGGAGATCGCCACGAACGTCCAGAAGAAAACAGCGTGGAGGAACTGCCATGCGAGATCAATCTCGTAAGCCTTGCGGCGGCGGAAGGTTTCGTGCCAGTCAGTGAAGCCCAACCCAGGCACATCTGGATCGCAGCGGTCTCGCTCGAAGAAGAGGTCCAGGAGGCGACCGAAGGTGTTTTGGTAGAAAGGGTCGTTTAGGCCCGCCAGCAGGCAAAACGACACCAGAATGTAGGTGTTGAAGGCTTTTCGGTACCTGGTCGGCAGCGCGAGGCGATGTATGAGGACATGGCCTAGGGCCCAAGAGAAAAGGGTGCCAATTGCGATGCGTAGCTCATCTGAGCTCGCGGCGAAGATGGCTATGAGCACCAGGCTCAGTAAGACGCGCAGCTTGTTCAGCGTTGACAGCATTGTTGCTGTTGCTGCGGTGATGGTGGAAGGGACAGGAGAAGGGAATTGTGCCGGTGTTGCTGGTGTTGGTGCTGTGAAGCGGTTCTTTGATGTTGAGCAGATGTTTGTGGTGTCTGCTAGAGAGTAAAAGCTGGAGGGGTATGAGCTGTTGAAGTATCATGACCTCCAGTGCGAAAATGGGATAGTAATAATAGCTGGTATTATGACAATAAGGTACGTATCGATCTTCACCCTCTGTCTACAATGAGAACTAAAAATAGAACGCAGGCACATGTCTTCTCTTCACCTCGAACGCCAACCAAAACTCGAATGATAAGAAGTTGATGCAAAACCAAGACGGGGGTTTTGCGGCTCTTTCACCTTCACCTGCACTATGTATACGCCAGGTTGGGTGTCCGCGACGTTCGCATACAGGATGCCCATTGGAGTTACTCCCAGCAGCTGTTGTCGTAGTCCCGGGTCGTTGTTCCGAACAGTATGTAGGCTCCTGGTGTGAGTGCGGCTGAAGGTGTAGTCGTACATAGTGTTATGATCGACAAATACGCACAGAGAAAATTCGTCGAGGACACGTGTGGCATGTTTAACCGATTTGGGGTGTTTCCTGCACACTCCGACCGTTGCCTGTGTCCATAAGAAACACTAGAAGGATGAAAAAGGTGTAAATGCTGTCAGTGCTGTATTGGAGTCGGAATCGACGGTTCGAGAACCAGTCCCGTGGTCAATCTGATGTCCCAATCCGCCCTTCACGATCCCCGAAAATAGTCACTGTACCTGTTCTTCGGCGTCTGACTCAAAACCGACAAACGTTTACTTGCCTCAGCAAGTGGATCATACCGCTCAACCAGCATCTTGTGCTGATTCGCCCAGTCTCTAAACTCTTTGTCTATCTCCTCGTCGACTTCTTGGGCGTCCCTATCTCCAGATGCCCTAGGACTATTACAATCCCCCACCTCACTGTCACCTCCAACAACCTCGCTTGTCCGTCTTGTAAAGGTCTGTTGCGGTTCTGCACCATCACGCCAGTGACTTGGAAGCGGGCTTCTCCTTTCGTCATCGATATCCATATCATCAATTGATCTGGTGGGCTGCGGCTCATCAACCACCGCAGCACTATCAACCCAGGCTTTCGTAGCCGCAGTGTTACGCGTCTTCCAGTTTCTGGGAAGAGTGCACGCCCAGGCTGATCGGATGCCCCCGCTCTTGTACGCTTGCAAAGCTTTGATGGTGGGTTTGCGGCGGATGGTACTGCTTACTCGCTCAAGCCAGGTTTGGCTTGTAGCGTCATCGACCTCTGAGGTTGATGTCGGTCGCTGGCCGGCGCCCGATGCTGAATCAGAGGGTCGTAGCTGTTCTGATGACCTTGAGGTGGTAAATACGCTTTGCTGGCCGGCAGTTGGTACCAAATTAGTGGGTTGAAGTCGTGGTGATGGACTCGGTGTGGCGAATGGGTTGCGAAACACCTCTTCTCCATCGTCTATCTCCATTGATTGAAGCGATCGCTCTAGTCTCGAATTTGTCTCTCCTTCTGTTGCTGGGGTTGCATACTCTGGTTCTTCACCAGTTTGTTCGAGCAGATCGTATCTTGTCAAGCAAGTATTCACACCTCGTTGACGGCGAATCGAGAAAAACCTCGTCGAAATTGATGCCATTGTTGGTTTATTCTGTGTTTGCTCGGTATCACGTTCGAGTTGGGAATTTTTGAGTGAGGTCCGGCGGGCTGCCAGTCTTTTGCGTTTGCGCTCATCACGACGCTTACGGATCTGTTCTTGCTGTTAGTATCAAGTGTTCATGATCAGCGGTGACAAAGCATGCATCGGTGGTAAACTTGCATGACATGCTTCATGCCTTGGCTCACTAATCGCGGTGAGGACAATAGAGAGGCTGAACTTACCCAATCCATGCTGACGGTCTCCTGCGAAGCTTTTGTGCCGTTTCTACAGTCACAGGTTCAGAGTGGAGTCAGAAGGTAAAAAGTGGGAAATACTCAGGGAAATATCGGCAGCATGATGGAGGGAGGCACTTTGACTGTGCATGCGAAGTTTGGTACCGTGTGTGGGGAAGCCGTCTACCAGAGGTAGAAGTTGACCAAGGGTTCATGGAGATGTCATTACGCCCACCTCGTCAGGGTATAAGCATCTTCGAGATGTATTTGTTACATTTTTATTACCCGTGCATCCGCGCTATTCTAATTACCGTTGACATGCCAGAGGAATATGCCTTAGTCGAAACAGTCAATGCGCACTTTGCATGCACAGTGTTGAATCGAATTGTAATACATCGCTGGCTTCTTGAGCCACCCTTGTTGAGCTGATCTACAAAGACCCAGGCTTGTGACTACTTGCCAGTTCTCTGAGAAACGATCTTCAATCCTGTTTCCGCTGCTAGTAGTGCTCCTTCTTTGAGGAAACTTCCTCGGCCCACCTATATAATGTCTGCTCCGTCGTCTCACAGCCGACATCAATCCCTGCGCTAGAGGCCTGGAGCTCAAGACTGCTCAGGTGCTCTATGTATGCCTTCTCCTCTCGCATATATCCCAACCATGCCAACCCCACACCTTCTCTAGATCTTATCTCAATACGTTCAATCTCCACTGAACTGATCAGGACGGATTTTTTTATACAAGCCAGTCCACTGTTGCAATCATCCGAAATGTGTTTGCGAATCGACGCGGTGGCTGGAGAGTACAACAAGCCTTCCCCGTAGCGTTGCCTTTTATCGGTGTCTACCGCGTCGGCTACGAAAAGTTGATATATCTCACTCCATACCTTCACATCCGCTTCGCGTTGCTCGGAAGCTTTCTTTCGAGCTTCCCCAAGTGCCGAGACGGTTAGCTTATAGGCAGCCTCGCAATCGTCCCTAGCGTTCTTTATCATGGTTCTGAGAAACTCTTTTGGATCCGGTGACGGGGGCTCGGTTTTGGTGGTAGTAGTAAACTCGCCCTATAAGCCCCAGTCAGTTTACATTACAACTTCAACTAACAGTCCTCATGCAAGCCTCTGCTTCTCTGTCCGCTCACTGAATTCATCACTTTGGCTCAAGTGCTCGTCGATAAGTCTGTCGACGACAGTGTTGAACTTTTCCTTGGTATCCTTAAGCATGCTCAGTCTGACAGCGTTTCGTTGCTTTAGACCTTCGGCGATCTCGATTGGTGTCATGGTGTGCTTGCGCAGTACTCGTTGATGGTTTCGCGATGGCGTTCAAGGTGGGTGCAATGGTTGTATTGTTAAGGTCAGAGTCAGAAACTTTTAGGAGAAGGACGAGATCGACTAGCGCAGAAACCAGCAGGTCATAAGTGAAGGTGAAGGTGAACACAAACGCATGAACAAGAGCAATCTCCACACTCTGCATACGAAGAACTGACATGACTCTTTGCGTGTTATGTTCTGTTATAAGTGTCCATCAGAGCATGAAAGTTCTGGCCCTACTCCGAGTCCGAATCTGACGAGATTAGATCTCATCAACGGTTCGCGAAATGGCGCTTCGCCAGGCTCAGAAGAGAGTTGTAGAACTTGATCTGCTTGACAAGAAGCTCCTTAGAGTCCCACTGGCGCTTGTTTACCTTCTCCTCACACCTGAAGTCAAGGTTCTCAAGCGCCTGCAGTTCCTTCTTGACGCTGACAATTTCCTCGCGACACAGATCATATGTCTCTTGCCAGAGGCCCTGATTATCATGCTCCCAAAGATGACCGACGCCAACGTGAATCTTCTTGATACGTGCCTGTTCGTGGACTAGGTCATCGAGGGCTGTTTCCTTGGAGAGCTTCGTGTCCTGTCTCCCTTTGGCTGCTGCTTCGTCCGCTGAATCGCGGTGATGGACTAGTTCGGAAAGGACCAGCTCGCCGTATTTGATAAACTTTCGCATATCCGGTATTGAAGCACCGTCCTGGATTCGATCGATTATTCTATTTACCTGCCTCGTGATTAGAGTAGTTCGAGGTTGAATTTGGCTGTCCTTACTCTAAAGAGCTCCTCTTGTATACGACCGTAGTTGAAGCAGTCCTCCTCAACGACACTGACGATTGGCACTGTAGATTCCTGGCCCTTGTTTGCGTTGGCAGTGTTGCTTTGCCTCGACCGAGTGGATGAAGGACCTTGAACTTGAGTTGACGATTGAACGCCGATTACCGGTTTGCGAAAGACATACTCGTCGAAACCCGTGTCAAGGTCGATACCTGACGACTCTGCAACATTGCGGAGGCATTCAATCTGTGTGCTGAGTGTGACGGAGTCTCTTTTGAAAGTGTCCTCGGCCTTCTCAACTTGGCTGGCTAGCTTTGCCCGAATGTTCGCTTTCTCTGTTTTGATAGCCCCGAATGACTCCGCAATGAGAATACCCTCCTTGGCATCTTCGTCAACCAATGCGTTGTGAGCTGGAGTAATAACTTGATTCGTAGGCAAGCGAACGTGGATTTCCTTCCTTTTGTCCAAGATGAGGTCTTGCGCCTTGATGCGCTCGTGCCACTCGTTCATCAAATCAATCTCGGCGTGGAAAGATCGGTTTGCATTTTGGATATCCTGTTTCAACTTGGCACTGTCGATTTCCATAGCTTGCTTGCAACGATCAATGCCGTCTTTGATTGTCTTTGTGAGCTGTACTTTGTCTTCTAGCGCAATCATTCCGATAGACTCCGCGATTTCCTAGCGTTCGTATATTAGTCTCCACTCTTGACAGTTCCAGCCTAACGTACAGCATCTGCCTGTGCTTCAGATTCGCTCGATACATCATTTTGATCGTGATGTTGTTGTTGTTGGAGGTCGTTCGTAGCTCGGTCATGATCAAGATGTTCATTTTCGAATTCAGCGTTCTGCATCTTGCTCCATTCTTCCCAGTCTTCTTCGGATGATTCCCTATCCCGGTCACTATCGTAGGGCTCGAAGCCCAAATAATAGCCCTGCTCGGGGTAAAGCGCATACTGGAAAAGAGCCCACTCCTCGACGCTGTCGAATGGCCAGCCAGCGGGAGTCCCGTCAATAGACATCGTGGGTTCTTTTCGCGAAGATGTACAATGCCGTGTTGTTGTTGTCGTCCGTAAAACAACTTCAAAGGAGTGTGATGTCAGACAAAGGTTTGGGTCAGGTAGCAGCAACCGTTATCGTCAGATACGAATTCACCGATGAAGGTGAAGATGGAAGCCAGCTGCCTCATCGTTGCCGATCTACCCGACGCGGAGCCGGCGATCTTCTCCCTGTACCCTTTCCAGCAATTGTGAGGCGACACGGCATGTGTTGCTCATCTCGAATGAAGTACCATGCTATGTGCCAATTTGTTCTCATTCGAGCGAGCACGTCCTGTAAAGAAAGGAAGAAACTGACTGAGAGGACAAAGATGAAATGAATGTATAAAGAAGCGTTGTTTACAAACCTCCAGTTATGGAATGAGTGAGGTCCACGTGTTGGTCGATACAAAATATTGGTAAGATGCTGATAATCTAAGCCTCAGAAACAGCATGTGATAGTGAGACTAAACAAAAGAGATATGTCTCTACCTCTTCTGAAATCACTATAGTCCGCAAGTGTCAGCCCTTTTCTCGTGCACTCACCCTGGTTATCAATATTGAATCGTTAGATGGAGTTGCAATAGAATACTTGTACATGCAATCGAAAATGCCGTCTACCTCAGCCGAAAAAGTAGGTTCAATCGTCTGATCATACAAATCCAGTTCAGTTACCAAACCCAAATCCTCGTGTCTAGCCCTACGCCTTGCATACGCAATGTACCGATCAAGCACAAAACGCTCAAAGCCACTACGCCATTCTCTTATATTCCTTCCTCAACCTTATACCCTGAGGAGCTTAGCAGCGTAGTCTACGATCAAGCTCTCGGTGGGGAAGCTCATCTCCTCAAGCTTCTGGGCGTATGGTGTGGGGACCTCAGCACCAGTGACACGGGCGGGGGGTGCCTCCAAGTAGTCGAAAGCGTACTCGCAGGTGAGCGCCATAATCTCAGATGCGACACCGAACGAGGGGAAACCAGACTCTACGCAGAGCATGTGGCCGGTCTTCTTGACGGACTTGACGATAGCCTCAACGTCGAGGGGCTTGATGGAGCGGAGGTTGATGACCTCAGCCTCAACGCCGTACTTGGACTTGAGTTGTTCGGCGGCGACGAGGGATTGGCCGACGCAGCGGGAGAGGGTGACGATGGTGAGGTCCTTGCCGGGGCGCTCGATCTTGGCCTTTCCGAACTGAGAGGTTTTGTCAGTATCTGAACGTGGTGGGGAGGGGGGCGGGGTAGCTTACAGGAATGACGAAGTCGTCCTTCTGGGCCTCCTCGCTCATGGGGAAGGAAAGACCGTACAGAAGTCTGCCATTGTCAGTAACAGAGCCTTCCATCTCATGTCCATTGTAACCTACTCGTTCTCGAGAACAACGACCGGGTTGGGGTCACGGATGGCTGCCTTCAACAGACCCTTGGCGTCCTCGGCGCTGTATGGGGAGACGACCTTCAGTCCGGGAATGCTTCCGTACCACGCAGTGTAATCCTGGGAGTGCTGGGCACCGACACCAGAGGCGAAACCGTTGGGACCACGGAAGGTGATGTTGCAAGGCTGGATACCACCGGACATGTAGTGTGTCTTTGCGGCAGAGTTGATGATCTGGTCAATGGCCTGCATGGCGAAGTTGAAGGTCATGAACTCGCACTGTTGTCGCCGTCAGATTTGCTTTTTCAGGGAATGGAGGCGGCTCAGAAACTCACAATGGGGTGGAGACCAGCGAGCGCAGCACCGACGGTCAGACCGGCGAAACCAGACTCTGTGATGGGAGAGTCGATAACCCTCTTCTCGCCGAAGCGGTCGAGCAGGCCCTTTGTGACCTTGTAACTGTTGTGGCTCAGTCAGCACCGCCCTTGATTCGATATTTATTGTGCATGCCCTGCGATATGCTCCTTCCCCAATTGTATCCTCCTCTTTCTTATCGCAGACATGTCACATCCGTCTTGTTTGTAGTGGTGGTGGTGGGCACGTACGCTCCGTTGTATTGCGCGACTTCCTCTCCGAGAACGAAGACCTTCTCGTTTCGCTCCATCTCCTCGGCCATAGCCTCGTTGAGCGCCTCTCGCACAGTCATCTCCTTCTGGCCCGACGCATATCCTCTCCTTGCAATTGACGGTGTGATGGCTGCGGCGCGGAAAGCTGGTCGGAAGGCGGGCGCTGGCCGCGAAGCCGAGACGAGGCGGGAGGCCGGTCGGAGGAGCCTTGAAGCAGCCATTGTGGGTGATGTGTGAGGGTGGAGGTGTGGTGAGGTTTTGCCGTGGGCGAGTGATGGCCGCTGAGCTCTGCTGTACAATTTCTTCGGACTTCGGGGATGCGAAGTTAGTCGTTGGGGCCCTGAACGCGCTAACAATCCAGCTCTGGTGCACGGCCCCCACTATAGCGAGAACACCCGACCTGCATCTTGGATTCCGTCTCAACACTTGGGACGCTTGTAGATTACTCTCCTTCTTCACTATCATCTTGCTTTGGTTGCGAGACTCTTTTTGATCAGAGTACGGATAGAGTCAATCACTTGGACCATGATTCAATCATGTTGCTTAGATGAGCAGATTACTTCTTCTATTCTCTATGATCACCACGTTTCGCGTTACCATGACCGTCCCTAGACCGTGCCCTACTTCCAATTATTATAGTGTATATGCGCGTCTCCCAAGCGCGTCGTGCAAATGCTAGGAGAAGATGCTCCTATATCGAAGGAAAAGCCTGCAGACCAACAGGGTCCTAGATGCGAAGAGAAGTCTAATGCAAAGGGAAGCAAGAATCGAAGGCTTATGCGTCGGCGGGTTTCCTTCCAACCATGAGGTACATGGGTGTGAAAAGCTTCTCCCGGCCACCAGCGACGAGGCAGTCAGCTGCAAGAGCAAGACTGTCGGCAGTCTTTTGGGTGCCCCTGGGAGCGAGTCCGATCATCTCCAGACCACCAACGAACTTGTGAATGATTCCACGTCCGACCTTGGTCATACGGAGAATGGTGGGAATGTCGCCAAGGGTGCTGATGTACTTCAGCTGGCCAGAAAGAGGCCAGTACCAGGGGTAGGGGTCGTCCCTGTCCGCCAAATCCTCGTTGTGCTCCATTACGAAGCCGGCAGCCTTCATGGCATCAAGCGCAACCTCGATCTTCTCCATGTTTGAGATACCGTCACCAATCTCGATACCAAGACGGATCTCGCGGTGGTGGGGGTTGTCGTTGTCGTACTTGTCAGTCATGAGCCACTCGTAGACACCAAAGACACCGCCAGGCTTGAGAACGCGGAAGATCTCGCTGTAGATGCCCTCGAGCGATGGCGCGTGGACAGTCGCCTCGATGGCGTAGACGGCATCGAAAGAGTTGTCAGGGAAAGACATTTGCTACACAAGTCAGTGAGGGGCACAGAGGGGGTCGGGTTGGGTCAATCTTACCATGAAGTCACCCTTGGTGAACTTGAGCTTGTCTGAAAGACCCTCCTTCTCGGCGTAGGCAGTGGCACGCTCGATCTGGTAGTCGTTGTTGTTCAATCCGACGACGTTGACACCGGCGAACTTGACAATCTCACGGGCAGGGCCACCAACACCGCAGCCAACATCCAATACGCGCATGTTGTCCTGGAGGTTCATCTTGTGGGCAAGGTAGTGCTCGTGGCGAGCAATGGCCTTGTAGAAAGACTCGCCATAGGCGTAGCGGGCGAAGTGGAAAGACTGTCCCCAGCCGTACTCGTACAGGTCGGTTGCGAGGTTGTAGTAGTGCCTTGTGAGGGTGGCGTATTCGTCTCGTCGTTCCTGAGTTTGTTAGTATCTATGGTGTACGCTGTTGAAATGCCACATATACACACCTTACGTGTCTCCTCGGTCTCGTCGCCAGCGGCTTTGTTGTCCCAATGCTTGAAGTACTCGTCTACAGCGGCTTGTTGGGCAGCCTTATCCTTTTGCAACATGGCAGTCATACCGCCGCGAGCCTTTGCAGACTTGCCGTGCATGGCCTTGTTGAACTCGGCATCGCGAGTATGGTCTTCCTTTTCGAGCGCAATGGGAGACATGGTTGGTATTAAGAGTGATAAAAGGTTATGCGGGGGAGAAGTGAATGAAACGGATATCAGAATAAACAATTGGAGCGAGAGGACCCTTAAATGTTTATAAAGACAACCCTGGAGAGGAAAGAGCGGTATGGGTAGGAGATTGGGACTTGAATTTCTTAGGGGGTAACTGGCCTCGTCCAATCACGACTAACTCTGTACGCGGCCCTGGTCAACGGAGCTAGCGGTCGGTGGTTGCCACCCGAGCGCGTGAAAGCCAAGACCGTAAGTGCCGTATACTGCAGTGCCTAGATTTCTACTGTCACTCACCTTGAAGCCACTACTTGCCGTCGCAACAACCACTGCGCCCCACTATCACGTACTCCACGACCCAGGATACGTCCGCCGTTGTCGCGAAATTACGTTGCGCCTTCCTTTCACGACTTTACAGCCTACGCATTACACTCACCATGCCACCGCAAATCAAAACCGACCTGAACCGTACGTCATACTCTTCTTTCTAACCGCAAGTAATTCTGTACTGACTTATGTAGGATCCGGTTGGGAGACGACCGACTTCCCGTCCGTTTGCGAGAAATGCCTGCCGGATAGTCAATACGTGCAGATGCTGAAGGAGGACTATGGCGCAGAATGCAAGATCTGCACGCGACCCTTCACCATCTTCCGCTGGAAAGCCGACCGCACCGCGCGACAAAAGCGAACCAACATTTGCCTCACATGCGCCCGTTTGAAGAACTGCTGTCAACACTGCATGCTCGATCTGTCGTTCGGTCTGCCCATCGTAGTCCGCGATGCTGCGCTGAAGATGGTAGCGCCCGGCCCACAGAGCGACATCAACCGCCAGTACTATGCGCAGGAGCACGAGAGAGAGATAGAGGAGGGACGGGGAGCGATGGAGGCGTATGAGAAGACAGACGAGAAGGCGCGCGACTTGCTCAAGCGTCTGGCGCAGAGTGAACCCTACTACAAGAAGCAGCGACGGATAGAGGCTGAAGAGGGCGAGAGCAGCCAGAAGGCGTTACCAGCGCCGGGCGGTGGCGGCGCAGGAGGCGAGAGCAGTCACGTTCCTGGTCCGATCAGAACACGAGATTCGCGAGGTACACCTGCACGAGGAGGCATGAGGCCTGGAAGAGGAGGTCGCATGGGCGGTGCATCCGCTGAGCCAAACCCACAAGACTGGCTGCCACCTTCGGACCCCAACGTCGCATCGCTTTTCGTCACGGGTGTGGAAGACGATCTTCCTGAACACGAGCTCCGCAAGCACTTTTCACAGTACGGTCAACTTCGGTCGCTAGTATGCTCGCACCGAGCGCATTGCGCATACGTCAACTACGTAAAACGAGAGGACGCCGAGACAGCAGCAGGGACACTAAAGGGCAAGGTGGTCATCAAGGGTTGCCCTATGCGCGTAACCTGGGGCAAGCCCAAGCAGTTGGACAGCTTGGATCAAAATGTCAGAATGCAATACGCAAAGGAAGGACGACAGGCGGCAGGCTCATCGCGACAGGCAGCTGCTTCCCAAGCTGCTGTCGAGGCGGCACCACAAAACAGTCTGGATAGCATGGTTGTGGCACCTCCGCCAGGAGAGGACGACGATGTGCAATACGCCAGTTTGGCCGGCAATTAGGCTTGTATCCCCTGCATTGGGTCGGCGTTTTGGAATGTACGGGTATCATGATTTATTTTTTGTGGATAAAAGCCTAGGAGGAACAGCATTTGGTTCCTCCCAATGTAGTCTTTCCCTTTCCCTTCTTGATATCCTCGTTGTCGCCTCTTTCGGTGTGCTCGTGTATCCGTAGCTCTGGCAACTTTCAGCATTCGATTCAAATACCATAATTGAGCGAACGTACTGTAACTGTCCTGTTCGGCCGCTGCTTGTCCTTGAACAACGTTCTCTCGTAGGAACTTGGCTACTTCTTCGGCATGTACTAATGACGCTTGCAATTCCTCGCTTCCAACTCGCAGGTCACGGTTGGACTCGAACTTCTTGCGGGCTTCGGCGCGGGCGGCGAAGAGGGTGTTCATGTCGCCTGTGCTGTGTGAGCTGCGGAAGTAATCCGAATAGTGCAGTGCATACCCTCGAAGGCGATGCGCGCAGATCGCAGCAGGTTCCGGTAAGCTACTAGCGCCATTATGTGTAAGGTCGGGGTGTGGGTAGGAAACCAAAAGCGTATCGAAAGATGCAGTTCCGTTCGGAAGTTCCGCGAGGAAAGTTGCTTACACGTGACATCGTTCGTGCTAGGAAGATCCCTGGCGACGATCCGACACCCGCTGACGTCGCGAAGGCTGAAAGTGGTCCACACACGAGCACGCTTCGCTGGCCTCAACGGTAGAATTCTAGCTCCCACACCGGGCTGCGATCTACCAGAGCCAACATGGTGTCCTTCTGGCCTTGGAAGGTAAGACGGTTCCAACTACGCGCTAGTTCAATTGCTGACTGTGACAGGGTAGCGAAGACGCCGCCTCTTTCGAGAGGACGCTCAACACTCTCACCGGCAAGATCAACAGAGCCGCCGCGCGCAATGACAAACAGAAACAGCTCGCGCGACGCGCACGCGTCATGTGGACGCTGTATGCCGGTTTCGCCTACATTCTGGCTGCGATGATTCTCACCTTCGTGACGGGATGGCAGAACTGGGGCCCTATCGAGGGCAGTGTTGTCGCAGGAGGGCCAGTACTGTATGTCTACACTTTGCTTTTTTTGGGTCATAAATCTGACTGTCCAGACTCTACGGCATCCGTTACGCGCTCATGAGCTACTTCGACTACCGCATTCGCAACACCGAGATCTACCTCAAGAAGCTGAACAAGGAACGCGACGCTACCATCGAGCGCCTGAAGGAAGCAACCAAGTACAACTCTACCCAACAATTGCTCGAGAAGTATGGAGCATCGCCCAAGAAACCTGAGCAGCCCCAGCAGGGCAACTCTCCCGGTCGCAAGAAGCCTCAAGGCCCTCAAATGTCAGTGCCGCCTCCAGGACCCCGCACTGGCATGGCACCTCCCCCAACGGCCAACATCCAGCGACCTCAGTCCCAGCACCGCCCGATTACCCCACAAGAGATTCCATCGAACGTCTCGTCACCCCAGGGCCCGCCTCCGACGCAGCATCTACCCCCACCAGAGGCTCCCGGAGCTGAATTCGCGCCCAATGCTTTCAGTGCTGGTCCCGACCTGACCAAGCAGTACACACAAGACTCGCCCGCCGCCTTCACACAAACCCACTGGTACGACCGCATCCTCGACGCTCTCCTCGGCGAAGACGAAACACAGGCTAAGAACCGCTTCGTCTTGATCTGCTCAGAGTGCCGACTTGTTAACGGACAAGCACCGCCCGGCGCCCGCACCCTCGAAGACGTCGGCCGATGGCGATGCGGTGGATGTAGTGCGTGGAACGGAAAGGAGAAGCCCCGCGAAGACGACGTTACGCGTCTTGTGCAAGGCTGGGAGGCTGAGCGCAAGGCTAAAGATGCGCATCGCAGGCGGAGTGTAGACAGGGGAATTGATTCCGATAACAGGGAGACTGAAGAGGACGATGGTGGCATGATTGGCGGTAAGGATGTGAGTTCAGGGGTGGATGTTGCTGCGGATAGTGGTGAGGATACGCCGCCGCCGAGTCGGAACACGAGAAGCAAATCAAGAGGGAAGGCGAAGAAGTAGATGCTGATATGGCTGGGATGCTTCGATTCGTGCTTGGATGACATGACTATGGGCGGGATGAAGGCGGTCATGTGTACCAAAATATTGTTATGGCTTACAGTATGATAGGCTGAATATCTCAAAATTTTGAAAGACCTTAGAGTATCTTAAGTCGTTTCGACCACTTCCCGTGACTTGCGCCTGGGCCCTGCTGGTGAAGTATAAATTCTTCACTCCTACGTCTCTCTTCCAGTCTTCTATCATTCATTCTTCATCCTATTTTCTCCAAAAGAACTAAACACTCGCGGCATGGCGTTCGCCTCCTCCTTCGGCTGATTCTCCGTACCTCCGTACCAAAAAAGGAACCGTAGTTGACTATGTGCGGTCAATTGTTCTGCCCTTCAAAGACGAACCAACACACTATATGACTGCAGTCTGCTGGCTGTCCAAAGAACAGCAAAGTTACTATATGTCGGTGGTGGAAGTCAAAATTTGACCAGACCCAATATTATGGGAACTATCTGGGGAGTCTTTGTCCGAAAATCGTTAGCTGTCTACGACATGTCGTCGAAAAACTGCTGTCCGATTCACATGTTTTGCAAAGCAGTCGAAAAAACTTTCTCAGAGGAACGATCAGAGCTCTTTTTCTCGAATTTGATCGCCGTCACAGTATGGTGGGAAATGAGCAAGATGCCCAAACCACGGGCCAAGCTTGAGGGTATAAAAGCTTCAATCTGTCTGCTGGGGTCTTCTATTCTGCACTCTCCAGCTTTCTTTATTCTCTCAAAGTCTCATACTACCAAGCCATGTGCGCTGCTCCTCCCTGCGCTCTTTGCCGAGTATCTGGAAGCATGTCAAAAAATATTGGTGCCTGCTCATTGCACTTCCAAGCAAAATTACTGGGAATACGAGTTCATGAGTTCTCCCCTCTTTGCCTTTTCAAACTTCCAAAACGACGGTGATGGCGATGCATGAGAGCGCTCGACTTCCAAAAGCTTACAGTAAGGAACGATATGTGCCTCAGTATACTTCCAGCAAAACCAATCGCAGGCCTGGCTTGGAAACACATCATCATACATCCTATGAATCTACGCTTGGCATGTGGTTGCTGTATAAAGCCTTCCGTCTTCGTCGGCTGTTTTTTTTCCTCATTGTTCTCCATTCGACTCATTATTCTCTCTCTTCCAAAAAAAAAAAAATTGATCGGAACGCCACATGCTGGCCTTCTCTCGCTGTCTCCAAGTACACCACTGGTACCGTGTGGCTGGATACTCAGAAACACCACAGTATGATATCTTAGCAATGCTTTTGTTGAACGTAGAGAATTTTCAAAAGCAGCAAATTAAGGTTAATGTCTGTTTGGAGGCAGGAATTCGTACCAGACATCAGACTGCTGTCTCTAGTCGTGGCTTTGTCCAGCATTGCCTTTCAAAACCAGACGTTCCTGAGTTATAGGAATTGTTGACAGAAGAAGCGGATATAAAGCTCACATTCTCGCTGTACGGTTCTCCTTTCTTCATTACACTCCATTCAATCTTTACTACAAAACCAATGGAAAACATGGGCATGTGTACCTTCTCTGTCTCCGCACTAAAACCTGTGGTGGCAGACAATATGTCTGAGCTCCTCTTTTTCTAAACACTTACGGCCGCAGCATACGGATTCTGTGTCCTAGGGGCACTCCAAAGTGAATGCCTGGCATTAATCAACCATGTGCGGATCGTTAGACACCAAAAACCACAAGCGACGTCACTTTGAGTCCGAGAATCTTTCTCTTGGTCCCTTCAACTTGGCAGGCTGGTGCGGCGAGAGATCTTGACTCTCTCAGTCGCGATAGGTGTATATAAACCTTTCCTGGGTCGCCTCTTCTTACTTCCTCACAACCACAAATTTTCTGTTTCGCACCAAAATACGCCGAGCAAGAAGGTATGGCTCTGCCTGTGTGCCTCTTACGTCCCATCTCCAAACAATCGCTTCGTCTCACGCATGAGCTGGCCTCTGCGTCTGCTCTCTCAAACTACCAAAAGCACGCGCACAAAGCCTAGATGAACAGGACCCTCTCTCTAAGCGACTCAGAAAGGGACATGACATCGAATTGGTTGTTGTGTAGCATCTGAAAGAAGTGCAAGTGATCATTTCCTAGAGGAAACCAAAGGTAACTGTTGTCTTTCGCAGATACCGGCGGGTCATTTAGCCTCGCACCAGTACAGATATATCCCCCACTATGTGCCTGACCTGGGTTTTATCCGCAACAATACATATTTGTTCTACCAAAATGCAGTCAAATTTACTCATGTCGGCTGCTTCTTTCCCGCTTTCGACGTGTCTAAAATCTGAAACCGGCTGATCGATATATCCAGTATCCGCTCACGCAAAAGGCCTAGCATTCTATCTACACCAAGTTTGTGAGTTATGACCCCCTTCAGGTACCGCTGATGTACCTGAGAGATAAGGGGAAACCTGTGGACGAGTTTGAAAGATACCATGGTTGCAAATTTGGTGCCTTTTGGCAGTCACATCCACAAAAATCAAGGCAAGGCTTTTTCGGCGGACCCAAATCGATATTCGGCTGACCCCAAAAAGATCAGATGAGATGAAAGGAAATTAGACAAGATGGAAGGTCCCAGAGGCAGTTGGAATAACCTAAGTTATCGACACCTTTGAATATTATTACACGATTAGGCAAATTCCTAGTGAAAGATTGCTTCTATCTAATCTTTCTTAGTAAAAGATAGTTTCCATCCGATCTTTCTTAGTAAAGGATAGCTTCCATCTGATCTTTTTTTTAGGGGAGGTGAAGATTCCTGCAGGCTCGCTCTGGGTGGCGGTTCGCTTTCATCTCATAATCTAGGGGTGATATTTTTGGGTACCTAGTTGCTTCCATCTGATCTTGGATCTCTGATCTCTATGTGGCCGATTGCTTTCATCTGATCTTTTGGGGTCAGCCGAATATCGATTTGGGTCCGCCGAAAAAGCCTTGCCAAAATCAATGAGCGCGAGTTCTTTGAGAAAATGAGAGCACTTCCGGCTCACATCTATCTGTCGTGTTGTATTACCCAGGTAATGTGTGTGACTCCATACCGCATCTCCCTCAAACTGAGTGGATTCACTCATGCCACAGACCAAAGAGACGCTCTACTTCGAGCGCCAGTCGGTCATAGCGCTGAGCAAGTATAAAGGACTGAGTTCTTGTGCTCTTCCTCACCCATACCTACAGTTCAATTTCTCGTTCTCAAAACTCGACCTCCCGATTCCATGTCTGTCTTTGCCGAGAAAGAACAATAAAAATGGTTTGCCACGACAAACGTCTGTTCCTTTAGCTCTTCTTCACCACCTTCTTCCAACTACAAAAGAACCTTTACACTCACCACGCTTCCTGAATTCCTAGAAGGCGGCTGCGTAGAATCCTGCGCTCATCTCTCATCTTCGACATCACGGAAAGAAACCTCAACGTACTCTTGTTCTTTGGAGTATGCGTACTACAACAAAAATGCAGTAGCATACAAGGAATGTCCTCTCTGCTCGGTTCGCGGCCTTCTCACCAACATAGAATACTTTCAGCCCATACTGCATGACTTTGAAACAAGAGCCGTTGTGTATGATGGAGTATCTTGCGGGAAGCTCGAAAAATACCGCTTTACCATTCAAATTGCGTTCAGCCTTCGTAATGATCGTGTTCCTCCCCTGTATACCTCAAACGAGAATGAAAGATCATGATGAAAGGACGCAGAGGTTGTGTTGATGATCCCAATCGAGATGTCAGGCTTTTTTGTCGTTGCCAGAGTCATCAGAGACCTGATTTCAAACCTCTAAGTATCATGCTTGTCTCCAAAGGACGTCCTCCTGGGCGACCATGGAACAGTCAAGTACTAATAGAAGCTAAGACAGCCCCACAGGGAAGACATAAAGTATGATGAAGGTCGAGAGCTTTTCTTTCTACTCAAAACCTACTTCTTCCAATCAGAACTGCAACACAACATTATATGTCGTTCGGCTGGCCCAAAAATTAGCCAAGAACAAGCCAATGTTTCCTCCTCGCTCTACTCAAAATATGAACAATAGAAAAACATGTCCTCCGAAAACATGGAGGGATTGATGGCCATGTCTTTCATCCGCTCTCCTCTCCTCTTGTCCACCGAAGAGAGCTATTTTCATCAAAAAGATTATTATGCTCTGATTATGGCTGATCTTTGGAAATGGTGTCTACCCAACCGGAAAACCACAAAATAATTCGGCAAGACCTCAAAAACATATCGGCATAATGTTATGAGCAGAGCAGAGCAGATGTGATGATTACAGAAGAGTAGATATCATGCAAGCATGCAATGACTGAATGCATCAAACTACAACTAGGTCCGCCGCAGGAGAGGGTAGTGCTTACGCTGTTTGGTACTGCTTAAGTGTTGCATGTGTTCTCTGCAGACGAGCGGGTGTATATAAACACCACATTCTATCGTGTTCTTCTCTTTTCTACAACACCTCCAGTTCTGGAGTCCAAAATGAAAAAAGACGTCCACATGACTTCGGCTGTGCTCTTTCTCCCCAAGGAATTCTTGAAAAGAGTACCAGTACGGCAAAATGGAGTATGTTGCTCGAGCGGAAACTACTCATTGTGACAAGCAACACCAATGACGAATGCGCGTCGAATTCCATGCGCCAAAATCCTATGACCCTGAAACCACTCCGATATCGTACACTCAAAACGAAACACCCTTATGCCGATACTTTCTTTTTGATCAAAACCGCGCTTGTAGCAGACATGTCCTCGTCCAGCCCGGAAGTAAAAGGACACAGCTCCATGTCTTCTCCTCGCTCGACTCAAAAAATACTCAAGAGATGGCCTTGGTGAGATGTAACTCAAACCCTGGACACACCCGGGATCACGTATTTGGGATCCTGATGTAGGTCGCTGCTTCAAATACAAGGCCTATGAATGAAAGGGTGCTCAACATACGCATCATGATGGATGCACTGAAGTGGCGTTTCAAAATGCAAGAGTAAATGATCAATGTCTGGCAAGAGTTCGTGAACTACGACATCCACGAATGCCGACTTGAGCAACTGTCGCGTAGGCTTCATCCTCCCCCACGGCGAAAACATCATGAGCTGGGCAAGAAAGCCGGCTACTCGGTACGCAAACATTAGGAATGCTTATCTTGATCTGAATGGCCCAGATACTTGGGAGTTGGACCTGGATTTTGTTGACGATCTGAAAGAACTGACTCAGTTTGTTCCTTCCGAGTATGAGAGTGTGCTGAAGAGTCAAGCAGAGGAGATGCAGAACAGGAGTCTCAGATAGAGGTTAGCCTAGTCTGGCAGATGAGTTGGGGTTGAATTAGGATTAGGTAGGATGTATAAGACCCTGATCCAACTACAACTATCGACATATAATACTCTCTTATATCATTTGCCATCGTTCTTCTCAACCTCCCGCGACCTATCTCACTTACGCCCCCTTTGGCTTGACCGTAAAAAAACTACTCATTTTCTTCATACCACTCGTATCCACCTTCTTCAACTGCTTGACCCCTCTCCCCTCATTCTTCTTCTTTATGGCCTCCTCTTCCTTCTTCCTCTTCTTCTCTTCCCGCTCCGCAATCTTCTCTTCGTCTAGCTCAACGGCACGTTTCCGGCTTATGTTGTCTGACAGAGAGCGGAGTGAGAGGGCTTCGGATTTGAGGGCTGCGATGGAGGATAGGTGGGCTTCGAGGGGGGCAAAGCGCGCACTTAAAAGCGCGAGGAGGGGTGTGCGTAGGGATGGCGACATGTAGGCGCTAAAGAGGTAGGTGAGGGATGTGCGGAGGCGGAGGAGGTGTGGGATTCCCTCAGGGGTTGTGAGGGTGGGTTTTGAGGAGGCGTCGTCGTCGGGTGTTGTTATGCTAGTTTCGACACTTGTTTGGGATTCCGCTATTGTCGGCTTGTTCTCCTTCTCTTCTTCTGTGCCTGCTGTTGTCGAGACAGCGCTTAGTGTGCTTTCCTCCCTCTTTATGCTCATGATGGGAATTTCCAGGGCGGTCTTGATGTACTTTTCTTCCAGCGATGGTGGAAGTCCATTCTTAACCATGCGCTCGGCTTTTGCAAGCAGAACTTCGAGGAGTTTGGGATGGGAGAGGCGGTACATGGTTTCGTCGCCGGCGTCGACTGTGTCGCATATCCTTCGCATCTTGGTTTCTATCATGGATTTCAGAGAGGGATATTGTGATAATAACGCTTTCCAGTGCGGTGAGGCAGATGAGAGCGAGTCGAGGTAGTCATCGATGGCGAGGAAGTGTTGTTTGGTGTCCTTTGCGGACTTTGGTGTGAGGGCGGGGAGGATGAGGAAGAGTATGTCGATTGGAGTTGCGACGAAGAGGTCAGCGGATTTGGTGATGTAGCCGCTGCCTATCCGCGAAGGGTCTGTTCCTTCTGTTGTGTCATCCTCGGCCTTCTCTCCTGTTATCAACCAACTCCTGCAGTCCTTCTTGGGCGCTGCGATGCGCGTGAATTCATAAAAGCCTTTCTCGGGGCAGAAGTAGTATCTTGACGGGGTGGCGTTTGCGGGGTTGTCGAGACTGATTATGCGCGCATCTTTTGATGTGTCTTTTGGTAGTACGAATAGCTTTGGGGGGTTCGGTGTGCTTTCGGGTAGCGATTTGGCTGTGGACGTGGTGGGTTCTGGTGTGGATTCCTTTGGAGTCGCTTTTGCTGGTTTTGAGCGTGTACGTGCCATTGTGATGTGTGTATTAGTCCAATTGAATCGCGGAAGTATGTTATACTAGCTGGAATCAAGTGGGATGTACGTGATGTCCCGAGTCTGTTGGCGCAAAGTGAAGTTCAGTCGCGTCGCGTGGGTCGGGTCAACCGCAACACGCGCAATCCCTGTCACGTCACGGTTTCGAGTTAGATTAGTCTGGGGTGAACCACAGTCCGGTGTCAACAAACGCCAACGGGTCCCGGCTATGCGCTTGTGATTCCTGCCTGAAGATCCCAGATTCTTGCTTTTTCCCGTCTGTAGTATTGGCGTTGCTATGGGCCGCTGCGAGTTCCCGCAATCAATACTGCACCATCACAACAATGATCGTGCGGGAGAGCCCCAAGTCAAAAGGTGAGGCTGGTAGCGAATCCAACGGTGCTGAGCGTGCGCTGACTCTTGTCACAGTCAAAGACAACCAGCCCAACTGGCCCCCGCAGTCGTCCGTCGAAGCCCTTCTCAGCTCGCCCTCCGGACGTAAAAAGTACGAGAGCCGCCGCCAGCGCGATTCGGCCTCACCATCCCCCTCGAAACGCCGCCCCATGTCGCGCGGAGGAGTCCAAGCCGGTAGCGATGGAGAGGAGGACGAGGAGACGCTGCAGCTGCAGCTCCAGGCCATCGAGGCCAAGCTGAAGTTGAAGGCGCTGCAGAAGAAGAAGAACGAGTCGCTGGACATGGACCGCAACGGCGCATCGTCGCGAGCCAGCATGGCCACCAGTATGCGCAGAATCGACCTATCGCGACCCGACAGCAAACACGACAACGACATCGAGGTGCCACGCTCACCAGTCCGGACCCGTCAACCGCCTACCGAGCCCAAGAGCCCTGCGCGGGTCATGTTGGGCATAGACAAGGGACTTACTGCTCGCGACGTTAGTCTCAAGCGGCCGGGGACCCCTGGGCGACTGTCACGGTTGGGTTCGTCTCAAGGTCCAGCAACGCCAAAGATCAAGTCCTTCAGCGAACGCATCGCAGAAAGTAGGAACAAGGAGAAGGAGCGCGAGGTCAAGGAGGAGAGGGCTGAGCAGAGGAGGAGCAGGGGCTTTGGCTTGCAGAACATCGAAGGAATCAAAGATCGGCCCTCACTATCACGAACGAGTTCTGACCAGAGCTCGCGCGACATGCCACCGCCCGCCTCCAGGACTCACGCCCGAACACAAAGTCTACAGAATCGGTCGTTCGGAAACCCACCTACTCCACGGCCAGGATCTACAATGTCCTTCAGACCTGAGAGCGCACGCCCGACATCATCCGCTTCCAAATCCTCATCCAGCAGCTTTGGCACAACCCCAACCGCTTCAAGATACGCCGAGATCTCATCACGCGATGACAGTACAGATGCGCCCAGTTTTGAATCCTTCTCTGGCCTTCACCTCAAGTCTAGAGAAATGCAACACAATGTGGTAACACGCACGCTGGAAGGCAAGACTGTACTCACCATACCGCAATTGTTAAAGACCGTCAAAGCGCCTGAGTACGACCCACCAGAATGGGAAAATGACTATGTTGTTCTCGGGGTCATCTGCTCAAAGTCAACACCGCACAACTCCAAGAACGCAGCCAAAGACCAGACCAAAGGCAAGCAGGACAAAGACATGGATCAGAATGGCAAGTTCATGGTCATCCGTCTAACAGACCTCAAGTGGGAGCTGGACCTTTTCCTGTTCGATACCGGTTTTTCGCAATTCTGGAAACTGCCTCTTGGTACACTGGTTGCCATCCTCAACCCGGACATCATGCCACCACGGAATCGCGATACCGGCAAGTTCTCACTGAAACTCTCAAGCTCTGATGATACTATACTCGAACTCGGCACAGCGAGAGATCTGGATTTCTGCCACGCGCAACGTAAAGACGGCAGAGAATGTGGCCAGTGGATCGATGGTCGCAAGACTGAGTTCTGCGAGTTCCACATCCAACTTCAAGTTGACAAAGCCAAGAAAGGTCGCATGCAAGTTAACACTATGACTGGGATGGGTAGTGGGCCTGGTGGCGGCATGTTTGGTGGTCGACGTGGTGGCCCCAAGGGTGATGAACTCAAAAGGGAAGGCAAGTACCATGATCGAGAACTCCACGAAACCGTATACATTGCACCACGACCCGGCGGAGCAGCCAAACTCATCGACCGCGATCACCAAAACTGGGAAGGCGGAGCGAATCGTGAAGATCGCTTCCGTAAGCAATTGGCCGAAAAGGAGAGGGAAAGAGAACTCGCCAAGAAGCTTGGTACAATGGGAGATGGCAGTACCGGAGGTGACTACATGAAGCTGAAGGGTGCTGGTACCCAGAATTTGCCTGCAAGAGGGTACACATCGTCGCAAGGCTCAACAGGTGCAAAGCCTGATAAGCCAGTCGACACCGACTTTAGTAGTCTGCTTAACCGTACGTCTGCCGATGTTTCTTTGGCGCCCGTTAAACGTAAACGAACAGCATCAGCGAAATCATCAACTTCGAGCGACCCCGTCGGCTGGGGATTCAAGTACGGTCGTATCCCATCACCCAAGAAGGAAGTGCCCTCTGCATTCCGCGGTACACGAGAAGCCAGTCCAGCAAAGAAGAAAGCCCGTCTCTTCTTAGATGGCAAAGGCATTCGCGAGCCTGGACGAGAGAGTCTGGGTGGTCTAGACGCAGGACTCATTGCTGCTATGGACGACGACGACGATGACTTGGAGGTAGTTTAATTCTTTGAAGAAACCCTAGGGGAGGTAACAAAAAAAAGGGAGGACGTGGAAGGGGAAGGCGTTTGGATCACAAGCTCGCTGATTGGCTAGAGCTAAGCGAACAACGGACATTTCGACTTTTCTGGGCTCTGGATACCTCAGGCTTAGCGTAACGTAAGCCTTGTAACGACTTTCCTTTGTGTACATGTACAATATTATACCCGTTCATCACGTTGATATACAAACTGCATTCAATTTCAAAAAGCCGATGTGCTAGAGAGGAGGCGCAGTTGCTTGCATGAGTGCTAGTACTTTCTAACCACACGCAACAACACTTGTGCACCCACCCTTATCAGAAAGAAAGGAGTGAGACAGTATCTCACGAAAACAAATCACCTCAGAATGGCAGCCCAGAATATCAACCCCGGCGAGAAGATTTACGCCCTCGTCAACTACGAAGACCCTTATGTCCAACCCCTCATCCTCGCGGCACTGAAGAAGCGACTACCAGCTTCGGCCCACGAATTCATAACCTCGCCATCCCAACTCCCCAGTCCGTCCTCTCGTTTCCTCCAATGGGTTCAATATGAGTCCATTGACTTTGATCACCTCATGGAACACTCTTCGAGCAGCCTATCCAACGCCTACGTAATTCGCAAGGCACTCATCCGGAAACACTACCTCAGTACCACGATCGCGAATTGGATTACCAAGTACCCAGACAGCGTACTGAAGAAGCACGTCAAACCGAGTGTAGAATTCGAAGTTGACTATGCCGAGTTCCTGGACGATGCGCTGGTAGAAGCATGGGAGTTGAAGGAGAGCTGGGCGAGGAACGAGGAGCTTGATGGCGATGAAGATGAGGAAGAGGCGGCGAAGAAGAAAGAGTGGTGGATCTTGAAGCCGGGGATGAGTGAACGGGGTCAAGGCATCAGGTTATTCTCGAGTGAAGAGGAACTCACTGCCATCTTCGAAGAATGGGATCCTGAGAGCGATGACGAGGAAGATGAGGAAGACGGCGATGCGAGAAGCGATGCTGGCGCCCCCAACACAGACGACCGGAAAGAAGAGAAAGACGAAGGAAACGGCATTATAACATCCCAACTCCGCCACTTCATCGCTCAACCATATATCCACCCACCTCTCCTCTTATCTCCGCCATCCCTTGCTACCCCTTCTTCCTCTTCCTCACCGGAAACTCTCCGCAAATTTCACATCAGAACCTACGTCCTAGCAACTGGCGCTCTACAAGTCTACGTCTACCGCCCCATGCTTGCCCTCTTCGCCGCACGCCCTTATGTCCCTCCCTGGGACGCTGCTCTCCAGGAGAACCGCGAAGAAGCCATGAAAGCGCATCTCACAAACACCTGTCTCCAGGACAGCGGGGACAGGGAAGGTAGTGTAGGCTTGTTCTGGGATTTGCCCGAAACCATACCTGGACAACCTCCTTTCACCTCTTCAAACGGCAAAACGTTAGATGTAGGAAAGGGATGGAAGGACGAAGTGTTTTCCCAGATTCTAAAAACTACATCTCAGACTTTTGAGGCGGCGGCGAGGGGTATGTCGATTCATTTCCAGCCGCTGCCTAATAGTTTCGAAATCTTTGGTTTGGATTTCATGGTTGGAATTGAAGGGAATGGGGAGCTGAATACGTATTTGTTGGAAGTAAATGCATTTCCTGATTTTAGACAGACAGGAGATGAACTTAGTGGGATGATTGAGGGGCTTTTTGAGGGCGTGGTGAACAAGGGGGTGGCGCCTTTCTTTGGGCTCAACGTGGAGCAAGAGGGGGATGATGACATGGTCAAGGTCTTGGATGTTGATCTGGGCCGGCGGTGAGCGAAGCTTAGGGAGATTCATTATAGCAGCACTGCATGTTGATGAGCACAATGAGAGTAATCACTCATATTTTCCTTGATCTATACTATGGTTCCTGTCCTTTCCTCCCATTACATTCATTTCAATCTGCAATCGCTGCATGCTGTGTTGGTGTCTAATGAGAAAGAACTCCCAAACACCAAACTACCGCATACCTTGATCGGCAGTTGAAGTACCCTATCTACTTACTAACCATGGGGCTATTTATATAGCCAGAAAAAAAGAACACCGATTACAATGCCAGAGCAGCAAAGAAGGTCTTACTACCTTCCATTGCTAAACATACATTAAAGGCCGTCAGTATGCGCACCCTTTCGTGATGCTAATGTAATCGTGGGTATCCTGATCCTGTTCCTTGATGTCAAAGAACACAAAAAGCAAACGCTCGCTATGCAAACAATCAGTCACAAAGGACCTGATGCAGAAGAGGACAAGCTAAGATGTCTTCAAGACACTGATGCTCATTCAAGACGAACGGGCTGGAGCACCGTTAGATGCTGCCAAATGACATGGAGGAGGTTGAGTGCTCACTGCGAGCTCGCTTGTCTGCTGCCTCGCGCTCGAGCGGTTCACCGCTGCGCTTCTTGGATGTCTTGACTGAGCTGCTTGAGCTGTGGGCTGACTTGACGCGCGACCAAGAGTCAAATGAGATCTCTGTTGTGGTATTAGCATGCGGGTAAATAGACCCGTGCACAGGATGACTCACCCTTCTTGAGCTTGCGAGTCGTAGGCGGCGGCGTCGTGGCCAACGATGGAGTTGGCACGACGCTCTTTCCTTTCCTACGGCTCGGGGTTGCGACTGCCTCGTCGACTTCGGTGGTGGCCTCCTCGTCATCAGTCTCAATGCCCTGCGCGCGGTTGCGTTCTTTGATCTCGGCCTGGAACAAAAGTTTCGGCTTGATAGACGAACGAGTGAGCGGGCGGCGTGCCTCAACGCCAATTTGGCGGCGCACTTGCTTGTCATCAGCGGAGAGCTCATCGTCTTGCTCTGCATCTGAGGCGCCGGACGGTGCGTCGTCGTGGAACTTGCGGAAGACCTTGCGACCTCGGAAGATGTACACCATGCCTTCGTCACGGTCGGCGGCAGCCTCCATCTTAGCTGTCTTTCGGTCGACCAGCTTCCTTGACTTTTGAGGAGTAGCCTTTGCCTTGCCCTTGCCCTTGACGGTGATGAACGGGTTCTCTTCAGTCTGAGCGCCGGGAGTAGGTACCCGTTCCTTGGAGTCGGTGAAGATGGGAATCTTCTCGGTAGTCTCGTCCATTTGCTCAGCAAAGCTCTCTAGGGTGTAGAGGTTCTTTGTCTTGCGGCCTTTGCGCGGCGTCGGCATGGCTTCTTCGATGGTGGATGGGCGATTGGTAGGGAACAAGACGCGGGCGGTGGAGCTGACGTCTTCAACGCGACGCTTGCGGGGTGTCTTGGCTGGAGTAGGAAGCATTCCCTGCGTAAGTCAGTATGTTTGTCCGTACGTGTCATAGTTGGAGGCGCTTTGGTACTCGACGCTGTCGTTTGACAAGCGCAGCGGGCCCAAAGCTAGCCTCCTCATGTAACGTACCGGAGCCATGTTTGCGAACAGAGTACGCCGAGAAGAAGTTGGTGCGGCGTTATCGGAGTCAGAGTCGAGCGGATTGAGGTCCAAGGGCGCGCGACGGATCGAGCGTGGGGAGCGCGGTTGTTGTGAGGTTACAGGCGAGGATGGCGGCGACAGGGCGAAGGAAGCGTTTGCGCGGGCAGCAGACCGCTTAGACGACGAGGCCGTTGGTGTGATGTCGCGCCTGGTCCGTGGGGTGGACCGCTCCTGTTGGTGAGAGTGAATATCGCGTTGGGCGGCCACTCTGCTCGATCGGCGCGGTGAAAACGGCTCGTAGGTGTCTCCATGCAGGGGCGCCGGCGGGGTGTGGATGCGACGGGGCGGCGAGGGTGTGCGCTCCATATTGTGGTGTGATGCGAGTGTTTGTTTGGGATGGGGCAGTTGCGGTGTTGTTATAGCAATGTAGGTAGGAATGTGGATATCCAAAATCAAAACAATGGCACTAAGCTTCAATGTTGCAACGCCTCAACGTTCAAAGGGTCCAATTGATGATGCAATATCGATATGCGCGCAAGTGGAAAGTTCGGTAGGGCTTGTGATGGTGAGGGTGAAGGACAAAGCCGAGTGGGTACAATGGGCTATGTCTCCGATGGGGAAGGGAAGAAAGCGCGAGGTTGGGAAGGAAGGCGCAGATGGCGGGTGCTCCTTCCTTGGCGCAATGCACGCGCGGAACATCAACAAGACCCCTGCTAACCGCTGGCCCCGCCAAACCAAATACGTCAAACACGCCAACGCCTGCCAACTCGAAATGCTGCCCGTGTCACCAAATCAATTCGTCTAGACGCGTCCAACACCATACACAATAAATACACAACGCAATATGGACCCGCCAAACCTCGGGGCGCTTGACCTCTCCGACTCAGACGAGGATGCTTTGTTCGACACGCCGGCGGCGCGCAAGACCAAGCAGAAGACAAAAGATGCGGACAATGATGCGGGGGAGGGTGCAGCGGGCGGGAAGACACGCTCCAAGGAGTCGCATTATACCACAGAAGAGGCGCGAGAGGCGGCATTGCGGAGAGAGTTAGAAAGCATACGAAACGTCAACAAGGTCATTGAGGGCGTTGTGGAAAGCTTGCAGAAAGCAAAGGACAACATGGCTGTAAGGAACAAGTTTAGAACTGCCGCAGTCTTCAGACTGACGATGAATAGACCGTATCACGCACTGTCCAGAACGCTTCTACTTTGCTCCAAACATGGACACGCATACTTTCCCAGACTGAACACAATCAGCGCTTGATCCTAAACCCCCAATGGCAGGGCGCTTCACAAGATCTGATAGACATTGAGGAGGAAGAAGTACATCGTCAGCAGGCCGCACAACGTCGGGCAGCGGAAGAGCAGGCACGGAAAGAAGCTGCGGCGAGGAAGATCGAAGAAGATCGTAGGAAGGCAGAAGCGGCCCCGAGACCAGGCACACGAGGCAGAGTGAGGGGCGGCGCTAGACCACGAGGTGCTTCGACATCGTCCACAGGGAACTATGTTGGTGTGGGTGGACAAGCAGGACGTGGTGTTAGTCGCAGCGATTCAACGCGAGGTCGTGCAGGCAGTGGC